CCCAACCTAAATGAACTTGGCCCATTCCATATATATAAGAGTCCATATTTAATTAGTTCTTTTTGATCACTTAATTAATTCTAAATTAATTCTTGATCAATACTAATTATATAATATGATTCCATATTAATATATTAGAACTTATAATATATTAATATAAATCATAAATATACTATTCTCAAAAGACTATACATATAAATTGTGTCGGTGAAGTGCAACCCAAATGGACCATGCCGGGTCGGGTCAAGTACATACCAAATATAGTTATGGACTTAGACATTAATCCAACAGTACCTTCACAGACCGAGCCCTCACGTGGTGGAAGGGCCATGTGAAATCTGTGTCTCTTCCAGTCGCCAACGCCATGAGCTGGGAGGACTTGAAGGTCCTATTGTTGGAAGAATACTGCCCGAGGGGGCGAAATTCAAAAACTGGAGCAGGAGCTATGGAACCTGAAAATGGTTGGTTCTGACCTAGCCGCCTACACGGCCAGGTTCAGTGATTTGTCAGCCCTTTGCCCGGGAATGGTCAACCCGGAGCCGAAGAAAGTGGAAAGATACATCTGGGGGTTGTCACCCCAGATTCAAGGACATGTCTTGGCCTCCAACCCAATAACATTCAACAGCGCGAAGCGCTTGGCTCAACGATTGATTGATCACGGTGTTAAACAGGGTACTATTACCGCTATCTCGGAGCCACCGAAGGATATAGAGGACCGAAGGAAACCCTGGAATAAGAGAAAGGGGGAAACCATGCTGGAGAACCCCAAGAGGCAACAGTTAGTGACAGCTCACGCTGTTACTGTCCGTACCACCCCCACACCCACAAGGCCGTACAACGGCAACCAGCCTAAGTGCAACCGATGCAACTTTCATCATCACGGACCCTGCCGTGAAATGCATTGCACTAGGTGCAATAGTAAGGGACACACCGTCCGCTACTGCAGGGAGCCAACCCAACCAGCCGCTCCAGCCGCAAATATGGGAGTAGACCGTACTTGTTATGAGTGCGGAGCGGCGGGGCACTTCCGAAGGAATTGCCCGAAGGCAAACAACAGGAATGCTGGTGGAGGAGGCCGAGTATTCGCAATGGGCCAAGGGGAGGCTATTGCAGACCCCACGGTTATTCCGGGTACATTTCTCCTCGATAACTCATTTACATGCATTCCATTTGATAATAGGAGCGAAGAGGAGTTCCGTGAGTCACAAATTTAAAAATCTATTCAAACAAACACCCCAATCATTAAGCAAAACCTTCATAGTAGTAATAACAAAGATAGATAAGAAGTTCCCAAATGGCTACTAGAAATGGATTGGCTTGGTCTTCACCATGCCAATTGCATGTGCTATGAAAAGACCCTTCACTTTCACCGTTAGCTAACGGAACTCTATCGATTTATAACGACAAACCCGACACAACTCCCAAATCATTTGTAGTTTCAAAATCCCGTAGCAATCATATGAGGAGTACTATATCCTTTGCAACCTTCCCGAAGTATTACCGACAGACTATTTAGGAATAGCACACGCACGACGAGTCAAGCTCAAACGAAGAGGCTAGGAATGATTACGGTTAACCTATCACTACAAAGTGTGTATGCGAATGGTATACACAAAGCGATGATAGACGGACCAGGTATAAATTCAACTATGAAGTTCAAGACAAAGCCGACTTGAATTACGAGTAATCAATACTAACATTTAGGATGAACATAGACAAATAAACCCAAATCCACGCTAGGATCTGGATTCACTAGAGAACAAGAAGATCAAATGGAAAAGAAGTACACATATCTTTCCTCAACGATTGAAGTCCCAGTCAAAATGCGAATTTCGGGACGAAATTCTCTCTAACGGGGGGATAATGTAACACCAGCAAAATTAGGTCAAAAATAAATTTGTTCAGTAACCATAATTGAGTATACTAAGTGGTAGATATCGTAACTAGGTTTCCAAAAATATAAAGAACACTAAAATCCGAGTTATAACGAAGAAGTTATGACTGATCGAAGATACGCGACAATACCGGTAAAACACTGTTAAGCATAAAACGAGAAATTTCAATAAAATACTTTTCAACCTTAGGTGTCAAAATGAAAGTCGTAGATATCCCAAAACCGTGAACATACATAAAAAGAACGCCCAAATCTGACTTCATATGAGGAAGTTATGATTTTTCGAAGTTTCGGACATAACAGTAGACAGCTAAAAACTCGAAATCGAGATCGAGCGACTTTTTGCCAACATGACCTAAAAGAGAATCGAATATCTCATCAATGGTATTACAACGGTAAAAAGTCTGACGAAAACGGACATTGGACGAAGAAGTTATGGATTTCTAACAGAGTTTTCCTGTCCCGGCCTACTAAAAATAATATATTAATAATATATTAAAAATAAATTCAAAATTAGCCAACGAAGTCTAAACGAGAGTTGTAGAGCATAATCTCACCTACGCGTGGATATAAAGAACGTCGAAAACGGAGTTCGTATGCGAAAGTTATGAATTCCTGAAGTTCGGGCGCGAAACCCCAAAACTGTCAGTGTTCACGACGTGAAAACAGTGTTCACGACGTGAACTGACTTCTGACGCCTTCTGGAGCCGGAGAAACGCAAGTTGCGATGACCCACCTGATGACGACTGAACTCACGACGTGAATATTTGAGATTCACGACGTGAACCCAGAAAACTCACCCTATAAATAAGGATTGAGGGCAGCCGGCTTTGGTTGTTCATTTCCATCCTTTCTCCTAATTCTACTCTGTGTTAAGCCTCCCGATACCACCCCGAAGCCCCGATAGCACCTCTAACACACGACGCAAGTCACGAAGTCCCGAAGATCCCGAGAAACTTGCTTCTTTTCAGTCAAAGTACTATCCGAGTTGAGTCTCGTCTTCTTCAACTCACCACTTCTATCAAGTGAGTTCATACCCCTACAACCACACTTTAAATGATTTTAAAATGCTTTTGAAACACTTTTAAGGGGGGGAATACAAGTAAACACACGGTTAAAATCGTGTGAAACACCAATCTTTTACTATACTTTTCGTACTGTTATTTTAACTATCATATGAAGTTGTTATCATGCAAAACACCTCACAACACAACTTTACCCTCTTGGGATATAATATGTTTGATTTATACATTGGCATACTACATCATATCAAGGGTAACCATTTTCAACTAGAACATGATGCTTTTACAAGAAAACTCAACTCATCATTACGCCTTTGTAACACGGTAGAAAGGGAAATCATTTCATACAAACGATTTTTCATCATATTACTCGTGAACTTGTTGTTAGCAATCATGTGATGTCATATGGCTTTGTTTGTACCAAACGAAAGTCCCCACCTATAACTCACCACTTCTATCAAGTGAGTTCATACCCCTACAACCACACTTTAAATGATTTTAAAATGCTTTTGAAACACTTTTAAGGGGGGAATACAAGTAAATACACGGTTAAAATCGTGTGAAACACCAATCTTTTACTATACTTTTCGTACTGTTATTTTAACTATCATATGAAGTTGTTATCATGCAAAACACCTCACAACACAACTTTACCCTCTTGGGATATAATATGTTTTATTTATACGTTTGCATACTACATCATATCAAGGGTAACCATTTTCAACTAGAACATGATGCTTTTACAAGAAAACTCAACTCATCATTACGCCTCTGTAACACGGTAGAAAAGGAAATCATTTCATACAAACGATTTTTCATCATATTACTCGTGAACTTGTTGTTAGCAATCATGTGATGTCATATGGCTTTGTTTGTACCAAACGAAAGTCCCCACCTATAACGAGAGTCTCTTGGAGGGAGAGCGTGACAAGTGTGTATAGATCTATACGGGGCTGACGACTCCGCACCCTGACTGTTAGCTACAGTCCCCGGGGTGACAAATGTCAACATTAGGTACTGCGTCTAGTATGGTTATGAGGAACTCACAACACGCGGAAACAATGACTCATGCACGTAGTAATACATAACTCAATCATGCTCGAGGGGGTAATAACTATATTATAGGGTATTATCAGCATGTTCAGAATTCAGGATAAACACTTCCACAACTAGTTTTACTTAATAATAAAACTATACATCTTCATTTCTAAGCATGACATATTTGCTTACAGGTTACAGTCTTGGTCATTTAAGACTGCATCTCATTTAGGAAAATATAGGATTTTCCTGGTTCAAACATTCACTTTATACATCTTCATTTCTAAGCATGGCATATTTGCTTACAGGTTACAGTCTTGGTCATTTAAGACTGCATCTCATTTAGGAAAATATAGGATTTTCCTGGTTCAGACATTTACTTTATACATCTTCATTTCTAAGCATGGCATATTTGTTTACAGGTTACAGTCTTGGTCATTTAAGACTGCATCTCATTTAGGAAAATATAGGATTTTCCTGGTTCAAACATTCACTTTATACAACAATGATTCACAACCCACTTTATTAAGAAAATATCGGATTTTCTGGAAAAAATACACGAACTTTCGAATGACATACATTTTATCAAAACACTACTTATGAACTCACCAACTTAAATGTTGACACTTTTTCTTTGAAATAACTTGTATTCTCAGGAAATCGCTAAACCAGGTTAGCAACTGGTTTTGATGACTTACGCTCAGGCGTTAGTTTAATCTTTTGGATATCATATTGTAATTGACTTTTGCAAACATGTAAACTACAATCATGTAAACTTTTCAATTATGTATATGATGGCCATGTGTACTTTCTTTACTATTCATTTGTTATGATACTAAACATGACGTCTAGGGGGCCCGAACCTCCTAGACAGTAGAGTGTGGGCGGGGCCCGAATCTCTATGAGAGTGGGCGGGGCCCGTATCTTTTAGTTGCATGTTATTTGTATGGTATGTGGTAGTTTGGGGAACTCACTAAGCTTCGTGCTTACAGTTTTTGGTTTTTGTTTCAGGTACTTCCACTAGGAAGGGGAAGGGCTCGGGTTGATCACATGGCACACACCACAGCTTCAGCCTGGTATGTTTAGACTCTAACATTTTCATACGATATGATAGAGTATTGTGACATGATGTTTTGAGATACATGATTATGGTTTTCTTTATGATGATGGATGACGTATGGTTTTATTATAAATGATTTTTAAAAAAAATTGGCCTATATTTTTGGATGTTTTATTAGGACTCAAGAATTCAACCATAGAAGAAATAACATTCTCCTCGGCATGCTTCAGATCGGGATCGGTAACCGTCAGGTACTCATGAAGATAAGTTGTCTTAGTTGGTTCGGATGTAGGTTCCTCAGAAGAAGAATGACCACCAGACGATGGAATCCCACGAGATTTTGATTCACCCCCATGAGTGGTCCTCTTGCATTTCGGAAAAGACAATTCGATCACTTTATCAGGGTAATTCATAACTCCTTCAAGGGAAACAAGTTTCTCCCCAACCACCTTCCTCTTAGATCTTAATGTGGTTCTAATAGATGAAGGATGGAGTTTCCTACCCTCTGTTTCTGTTTTCTCAACACTCTTAGAGGGGGAAAGAATAAGGGGCAAGTTCATATCCTGACCATCAATATTCAACGTGGAGTCCATATTAGACTCTGATTGAGAATGAGAATTAGGAATGGTGATTTCCTCGGTAACTAAAGTAGAGCTCGCCAAGCGTTTGTGATGCAACCGTTCTAATAACGTGACTTCTGTAACACTCTTGTTCCATGTATTTGTCATAAAGGTTCAATTTATAATTTTGTTTGAAAAATTGGTCCCTACACAGGTCGTACGTGATAGGTACGTCGAGCGTAGGTCATTTAGTATGGATCGTTGGTTCCCTCGAGTACGTAGTGCATACATGCTAGGTACGAAGGGCGTACTTATTCAGGTCCCAAACCCTAACTTTAGGGTTTGGACCCTATCTAAACACCTTAATACCTTAAGGCCCCTTCATAACCAACCTCCACACTCCCTCTTTATGTTATTTCGAAACCCTAGCCACCTTGTGAGGTTCTTGAGCTCTTAGAGTGAACTTTGTGTGTTTTGATGCATATTGAAGAAAAAGGAGTCCGTTGGTGCGGTGTTAGGAGCTTGGAGCTTGTGGATCCAGACTTGGTTTTTCATTTAGCATCTTCTGGAGTTATAAAGCTTCAAACTATATGGATCTTTAGTGTAGATCTAATTTTGGGTTATGTTTTAAGCATGGTTTGGTCCCATCGCTTGGATATTCAGAGTAGAAGTTACTCCAGAACCTTTAAGCATCATTTCTAGCCATTTCTGAGTTTGATAAGTCATAAAAATCAGATCTTGAGCGTTGTAGTCCACCCATGCATGAGTCGTTTATCTTTTTATGAAGTTATGGACCTAGGGTTTAGTTTTGGGTCCTATTAAGCCATGCAAAAGCTTAAAGTTACCAACTTTATCAGTTAAGACCATCCTAAGAGTTAGATCTGTGAACTGGACATTTGAACTTTGAGAATTAAGAGCTTAATGATAAGTTTTGGTCATCAGTGGAGTACGTTGGGCGTACCCTCTAGGTACGCATGGTGTAACAGGTTTAGTCCGATTGACTTTTTTGTTGAAGCCCGGTACACAGGGCGTAATTGGGTGGTATGCATGGCGCACTCACCAGAAGGTCATTTAGGCCTTGGGTCATTATGGGTTTGGGCCATGGTTAGATGGGTCAAGTAGGGGAAGGGTAAAAGGGCCTTTTACCCTTAGCATGATAGAATATGATATTGACCATTTATTATTGGTTATTACCCTGACTATTAATTAGGGTTGATTTTGGATATGTTCAGTGTGAGGATCCGTGGTAGCAGCAGCTCAAGTGTGTGATTTGTTTATCATCATATTAATGTGAGTAACCTTACTATACTTGTGGGTCGAAGACACCAATGTTGGCCCTTTGGATTATGATATAGAAGAATAGTTGTCTTCGTGACACTTACCGATATGCTTGTATGTGATCGTTGTCTTTGTGATTCTTTCTAGTATCATTGTATGCTTAGTTATAGGGGTGCAATAGAACCATATATGTTGAAAGATAACGAAGGAGTTGAAAGGGAATCAGAGAGTCGGAAAGGACTCAGAGAGTCGGAAGGAACTCAGAGAGTCGGAAGGAACTCAGGGATTCGGAAGGACTCAGAGAGTTGGAAGGGACTTAGGGGTGAAATAGACCCATTACAGCTTTACGATGATATGTATGCATAATATGCACAAACGATATGTATATATGACGAGTATGTATTGTATGTGGTATTTTGGGGAACTCACTTGTAACATCCGGAATTTCAAGTATGTTAGTGAACGGTTGAATTTTTGACGTTTATGGAGTGACTCGACGAGTTGGGAGTCCAACTCGCCGAGTAGGGTCGGGTGCCGTGTGGGATTTAATGATTGGACTCGCCGAGTAGGTACTGGGCAGAGAAACCCTAATTTCCGGGGTTTGGGACCTATTTAAAGGCACTTATAGCCTCATTTGCGACTACCCTTCCTTGAGAGAAAACCCTAAACGTGCATAGAGAGCCATGAGAGTCTTGGAAGCTAAAACTTGGAGTAGACTAGTGCATCTCTTGAGGAGAAGAGGAGATCATCCAACAAGGAAGCTAGAAAATCAGTGGATCTGGTGTAACTTTGTGCAAGGGCTTGAGTAAGAGGTAAAAGCTTGCACCTTTCTTGTTATTGTGCTTAGATCTTGTTGTTATGGAAGATTAGGGTTTCTTCCACCATTGTTGAGACTTTGAATGCATAAGGTCCCTTTTGAGGTCTAGATTTCAGATCTGGACTTTGTGAGGTCCAGAGGGTCCAAAGATTGTAGCTTTATTTAGCCATATAAGAGTTATTGTGGTTAATCATCCTTGTTAGAGTTATATCGGCAATATGAGCCATATATGCCATGTTTAAACGTAAAGCTTGCAGCTTTACGTGACAATCGACCCTTATGATGGTAGATCTAGTGTTTGGGGTGATGGATCTGCCTTAAATCGTTTGAATGAGGAATCTGATCGAAGGGACTCGCCGAGTCCATGGCCTGACTCGACGAGTCGGGTAGGGTTTATCCCGATGAGTTTGATCATGCGATAACTCGTCGAGTTGGGGGTCAACTCGACGAGCTGAGCTGGACTTTCTGGAGACTTCTGAGGAAAAGAGGGGACTCGACGAGTTGCATGAGTGCACTCGACGAGTCAGGTCAAACATGGACTTTTGACTGGAGTTTCACTTCTCTTGACTTTGGGGTTCTGGTCAACATGAGTGATAGAGGCCATGGAGGGGTAAAATGGTCTTTTATCCACTTCAAAGGGTTAGAGAGAGAAAGAAGAGCCTTTGGTTATTTGAGTCGTGGAAAGAGTATTAATTAGAGATATTTACCATGTGTGTTAGGCGGGGGATAGTTCGAGATTCGAGTAAAGGAACAATTGCTTGTGTGCTTCGAGGTGAGTCTTCTCACTATACCTTACCTAGAGTGGTAATTATGTATGACCGGAAGGTCTTATGTGGTTATAAGGGTTATGAGATGTATGTTATCTATGTGATATGTATATGCTATGTCCTGAGCTTGTAGAGTTTGGACCGGAAGGTCAACAGAGTTTGATGTATGTTATCTATGTGATACGTATATGCTAGTCCTGAGCTTGCAGAGTTTGGACTGGAAGGTCAACAGAGTTTGGACCGGAAGGTCAACAGAGTAGGACCGGAAGGTCTACAGAGTTAGGGTCGGAAGGTCATCATGGTAGGACCGGAAGGTCTACCAGAGTTATGGGACCGGAAGGTCCACTGAGACACATTGACCGGAATGTAACATTCCGTAATTCAGGTACATCTCTTATACCCTTCTTCTTTTCCAAGTTGTCAAGTTTGGCCCCTTAAAGGAAACATTAAGGCAAATAAGTACGCTAAGCGTACTGAAGAGTACGCTGCGCGTACTCATGCGCTTAAGTTGGACGCGGACTCGCCTAGGTACGCTGGGCGTACCCAAGGTTACGCCGGGCGTAACCGGCCCAAATGCAAACCCGAAATTGTGGCTTGCACACTATAAAAGGAATGTTAAGGCCTTATCCTCAGCCACCATTTCAGAGAGTGAAACCCTAATAGAGAGATACCCTTCGTTCCTAGCTTGTGTGTGTGTGTGTTCTAAGCTTCAAAGTGCCATTTCAAGGTGGTGAAAGAGAAGAGGAGGCCATTTTAGGAGCTAGAAGTTGGTGGACAAGAGTAGATCTGAGTTCTACAGAGGTTGGAGCTTCTTTCTGAGGTAAAAAGCTCAAAGCTTTCCTTGTCATTTGTGATTTGTGCTTCTTGGACCAATTTTTAGGGTTTTTGGTCCCAAGGTGGAGACTTTATGAGCAAATGGTCTCCATAATCCTAGATCTGCCATATTTCAGAGTAAAATGAGTTGTAGGTTCATAAAAATCCAATCTTGGGTGTGAATATTGAGCCATGCATGAGATCTAGACTTTATGAGAAAAAAGGAAAGGTGTTAAAGTGATTAGGGACCTTTACAGCCATGCAAAGGCTTAAAGGTCTCGACTTTATGGATTAAGTGGTCTTAGAGAAGTCAGATCTGGAGTTTGAGTTTATGTCTTAACCGTTTAAGACCAAAATCCATGAATGCATGAAACTGAGACTTACGCTGGGCGTAAATCTCAGTACGCGCAGCGTAAGGGTCTGAGACCCCGATTCTAGATCGTCGGAGTACGCCCAGCGTATAAGAGCTGGTACGATCCGCGTACTGTCCCTGTTGACTTTCGTTGACTTTTAGGGTTTTGGTCAGCATTTGGACTTTTGGGTCAGGGAGGGGTAAAATGGTCTTTTACCCTTCTGTGGGATTGTAGGAAGGGATGTGATCTAGTCTTTGAGAGCCTTTATTTATTCGAGAGTACTGTTTATGTGTTTAGGCGGGGACTAGATCAGTGTTTTCGTGTGCGAGATTATCCGAGATACCCGAGGTGAGTCTTCTCACTATACTTTACCTAGAGTGGTAATTAGAGTTATGTGACAGAGTATCTTGTATGCTATTTATGTGATTGTGATGAACTGCATTATTTCTATGTGATTTATGTTGTGTATGTCCCAGAGTTTACAGAGTTGGAACCGAAAGGTTCACAGGGTTAGGACCAGAGGGTCCACAGAGTTAGGACCAGAGGGTCCACAGAGTTAGGACCAAAGGGTCCACAGAGTTATAGCCTCGAGTGGCTAATATGTTTTATATGTGGTATTTTGGGGAAATCACTAAGCATTTATGCTTACAGTGTTTTGTGTTATGTGTTTCAGGTACCAGTGAGGATCGCGGGAAGGCGCCGGCATGATCAGTACACACTATTGGAGTTTTTATACATTATGATCTTGGTATGTGTTTTATGGATTTGATATGTGATACATTGAGATTTGAGAATAGTTATGAATGAAATTACATATTTTAAAAGTGAAAAAATTGTTTTGAAATTTACGTCGTTACAAGTTGGTATCAGAGCCTTGGTTTGAGGGATTCGGGTGCACCTTCGGATGTATCTGAACTCAAACTGAGGATTTGAGAGATTTTCTTTAAAATAAAACAAAATTTTTCTAAAAGAGTAAAAGGTTTTGAAAAGAGCAGAGCAGAGCAGTGTGTACGATCAACCAGCGCCCGAACGGTGATTTCCCAAAATACCCTTATATTATGTGTTATGAGATATGATATGATATGTTATGCATGCTAGAGTAGGCTGGGTATTCTTATTAGGACTAGAGTGGCCTGATTC